CTTTAAAAACGTCCAGGAGCTGCGCATGCGCAGTAGCTGTTTACCAATGAAAACCTTTTTTTTTGTCTTGACGTGTAGCACTAAGCTTATGTTTCAAGAAATGTTCAGTTTGAAAATTGTTTACTACATTTTTTCAAACATCCTCTAAAAGCAATTTTAGATATTTGTTCTTTAAGAATTTGTATGATTGAAATTGGTTTTATTTGTTTCTGATATAAGGTTGTAAAGTTCTTCTTACAAAGTTTAAGCTCGGAGCTCGTCTGCCTGGCTGTGTGTTTCCTGGACAGGCCGCCTTTTACAGCCGCTTTTTGTATCTCTGCTTGTCTCCTTGAACCCCAGTCGGCCTCAGCAGATGGCCGCTCACACTGAGCCTGGTTCTGCTGGAGGTTTCTTCATGTTAAAAGGAAAGGTTTTCCTCTCCACTGTCGCTACAAGCATGCTTATTGTTAGGGATTGCCTTTGAGTCGATGAAATCAACTGGTTTTCCTTGGATAGAAAACTTTGAATCAATCTGACTGTATGATCTGGTGAACTGTCAAGTGCTTTGAGATGACATCTGTTGTGAATTGGCACTATAGAAATAAATAATTTAATTATATTTTTCACTGTTAAAAGCTAAAACTGCCCTGAAAGGATACTTTTCCTTTTAAAAATTCCCTTTTCTCTGCATTCATATTAGCAGCAACATCGCAGTTTTTCCCCAAACATAACGGTGAATAATAAAAAAGCATTTTCATAAAAATGTAATATAATGTCATATGTAATTTGTAACTAAACAAGACAATATTGTTTTGTACCTACATTTTTTATTCTTAGTGCTTTTAGTTTTAATTAATAGGCAGAGAAAATATGGCTTTCCATGCCAGCAGTCAATGCAGGATGAAAGACATGTGGATTCACGTTATATCTGTAGAAAAGTTTTCTGTTGCTGATTAAATAATGCAAACTATGCCCCCAGTCCTGATGCTTGTTATCGGCCTGTTTTTAGTGATGAAATTGGCCTCATCCAGTGTCCGGAGGCGCGCTACAACCGCAGCCCCATCGTGTTGGTGGAGAACAAGCTGGGCGTTGAGAGCTGGTGCGTCAAGTTTCTGCTGCCGTATGTCCACAACAAGCTGCTGCTCTACCGCCAACGGAAACACTGGCTAGACAGAGAAGGTATCTGTGTGGATTAATGGTGCTTTCCCATCATGTTGTTTATCAGGGCAGCTGGGTTGTGATGAGACAAGCAGTGGGATGTTGGTTCCTTCATCATATAATTGGATTTACTTCCGGTTTAAAATGAAGCTTTTGTCTGAATTATTCTTTATTCATCCATCAGTTCAGCTTTTAATGAATCTCTGGACTATATAGGTTTTTTTTTAATTAGGATTTTCCTATTTGTCTTGTTTGTTGTTGCACTGCTGAGGCAAAGTGTGTGTTTTTGTGTCCTACAGCTCTAGTGGATATTACTTGCACGCTTTTGCTGCTCAATCCAGATTTCACCACAGCCTGGAATGTCAGGTAAAGGAAAGTTTCAACTAACACATTTTATAACTGTCTTTACCTCTTGAACAAACTGTGGAAGAAAATTTTGTTCCATTATTTTTACAAGGAAAAAAGAAAAACGTTAATCTATCCATCTTCTACCACCTGTCCATCAGGGTCATGGCTGGGCAGATTTCTTTCTCCAGCAGGCTGTGGGTGGAAAAAAGGGTCCTCTCTGGACAGGTCGCCTGTCTATCACAGGGCAGGGACATGCAGCCATGCACACACACCCTCACTAACAAGGGGCCTTTTGAGCCTAATGCTACGTTCACACCAAACATGATTTCAGCAGCAAAAAAGCGCCTGCTGCTTTATTTTTTACGCTTGTCCACATTAAGGTCAAATGCGCCTCAAGAGCATCTTTAATACTCCTGAAGCGCGTTCAGTAAAGTGAGTCCAGATGCGTGTGATGCTTCTGTTGCTCCTGTGTTCAATGCCAGAGAGCAGCTTTGCTATGTTTGCTGTGATCAGCGGGTAAAAAGTACCGTATTTTCAGGACCATAAGGCGCACCGGACTAAAAGGCGCAGTCTCAGTTATGTGTGCCATTTCTGTATTTAACACACACATAAG